CGCCCGATCCTCACGCTCATTTGAATGGAGGTTACCGGATATTGCAAAAGCCAAATAGTTTTGGATGGCCATCCAAAAATATTCAATGTGTGAAATAGTTTTGCTAACTTTTGTAGACAAAATACGAAAATATGCATTCCAGTGACTTTTTGGAGAATTCACAAATACAGGAAAGACGCACTTCTGCGTTTTAGTCAAAAACCAACAATAAATGTTAATCTTGTGCCACTTCTGAGAGATTATGGGTCTTTGGGAAATATTGGTTCCAGATCTAGGAAGACCATGTACGTGCAACATCTACCTATAAATTGGAAATGAGCAAATTAGTTCAACTTTCTATTATTCGAAAATTAGAGAACGGAACCTGATGGTTTACTTTTATTATTTGTCACAATATCTTGTGGAATTCTTTCGAGTATCTGGCCTATATAAACTGTATCATATATTATAGTGTTGTAGGGTATTCAACGGTCGGCCCCGCTCGACTGTAGCCTTTGCTTACTTGTTTTTTTCTGACTTTTACCAGCCAATAAATTAGCTGAGATGGTCTGTATCGATTTTGAAATGCGTTATGTCTGTATAAATTTACTCTGGCGTTTTTTTTTTGATTTCATCTCAAGGTTAGAAGATTATTGAACTTGGCCGGCCAGCCATAGCATTTTCTCAGTGTTTACTATGAGTAAAGCCAAATGAAATGTTTCTGTTTCGAACATCGAACGCTGATCGCGGTCGTTGTCAGGTGGTTCAGGTTAATCTTTCAAATGCTAAACAGCTGTTTAAGAAATAGAAACAAATGTAGACATGAAACAAAGAAATGTTGTTGGGTTTTTATTTCGATTGTTTTTTTAAGAATAAATTAATTTAAAATAAATGCATAAAACAATAAAAGAAATTTCTCACAATAAATTTAATTGGTAAATATTGAACAGAGTAAATATGGTATATATAGATAATTAATATGGCGGTAGAATATGCCAAGAATCTATTCTGTTTTTTTTTTTTTAGAGAAATATGCGTTTTTGCATATATCATACATATTTAAGTATTCTAACGAATGCGCAAAAAAGTGTTCTATAGGTCTCGAATGAATAGAAAACCTGCTTGCATAGAAAGTAGAACTTCTTCTCTTTAGGGAGATCATTTTAAGAGTCTTCTATGCACCCCCTTCTAGCGAAGTGGATAGATTTAAAAGTAGGAGATCTATCTTTGTTGTATTTTCGACAATTATATTGCAACAAATATTAATTATATGAATTGCGTTCAGAAAATGTTGTAAATGTTCAAATTTTTGCATTTTATGAACTTTGTACATAAAACAAGAAATTCTTTCTTCTTGCATACAGATAATTTTGGAGGAGTTTGAGAAAGCATTTCCGGGATCTGGCTGCTACCTTGACTCCTCTAACGACTCATGGAGAATAATTGCTATCATATTCCCATTAGAGAACGTTTGAAAACCCCTCTCCTATGGCCTGTCAGATCTGGCAGCAGCCTTGACCTTTTTTACCGACCCACGAAAATGCATCTTTTCTCGAATTCCCTTGAAAGCATTTTCCTAAGGTCACGAGAAATTTGATTCAAACAATACTGTCTTTTTTGTGAATTCATGCAAAGAGGATAGCTTTTTTAAAAGGAATGCTAAATTCGAAAATTAGGTTAAGAAAATATTTCTGTATTTTATGAACTTTGTGCATAATATTAGTTTCTTGTGTGTGTTGGTGTGCGTGAGAAGGGAAGAAAATATGTGGTTTTGGGTGAGTTGGAGATATTGCTTGCGAGACATGGCTGCTGCCTTAAACTCTTCAGCGATTCACAGACTCAGATTTGAGGATTTTATGAACTCAGTTCGTAGAATCACTGGCTAATTATGTGAGAGCTTGTGTGTGTGAGAGAGAGAGAAAGAGAGAAAAACTATTTTGGATAATCTGCTAGGTGTTTTGGGTCCACTTCAAATCGACTGTAATTTGTGGTTAATAAATATTTTTTTACCCTCCACCATACATAGTATGGAGGGTATATTAAGTTCGCCATTCAGTTTGTAACTCATCGGAGTAATAATTTTAGACCCAACAAAGTATAAGTATTCTTGATCAGCGTAAAATTCTAACACGATGGAATTATCTGAAAATCCACACAAGACGTTTTTTCTGAGTACTTTATCCCCTGAAAATAAATTGTCTGCATAGGTCCACGATATCGTATTTCCCCATATAACTGTGCATTCCAATATTCGGTATTTTGATAATTTTAGACACATTTTTTAAGGAAAACTTTGAAATTCTACACAAGGAGTTCTCTGTGAGTTCTTTACCCCCTGAAAAAAAATTGTATTTCCAAGATTGTCGCGGCATTATTCACCGGAATTGCGTCAAACTTCGTATTTGAAGTTCGGAAAATGACAAAAAATTATATATCCGGCACCACGTCTTCGTATAGCCCCCATATAAAGGTATTTTTCGACGAATATTTTTTTTTAATTTTTTAAGTTCCCTCTGAATGGTGGAAAGTATAAAAAGTTCGGTCCGGTCGAACTTAGCTGTTACTTATTTTTTATACCCATAGTGGTAAGGGTATTAAGCTTTTGTGCATTTGTTTGTAACAGGGAGAAGGAAGCGAGATAGACCCATAGTTACTTCTGCAGATATTGATAGAATCACTTTCTAAGTCGATTTATGCATGTCAGTCCGTCCGTTCATGTATTCTTGTGAACAAAATGCAGGTCGCACTTATTATCCGATTGAGATGAAATTTAACAAACAATATTTGGTTGGCCTAGGGACAAACCGTATTATTATATACCGTAAGCAAATACATCCCATAAATATGTTTCATCCGATTTGGTTTTTAAGTCCTTCATATTCGTAATATGCATTCGACAACAATGATATTTGGTACAAGATATCGTATAGAGCTCAGAAATACTTTTCCAAATTTTATCGACAACGACTAAGATTTGGATATAGTTCCCATATATATCCTTTCAGGTTTATTGCGCAATATTGCTAATATCAGCCCAAAATGCCCAAAGCCCAAATGGAGTGAATTTAGGGACGTACGATTCCATTTTGTGGAACTTGACTCCGATATATATTTTTTAATATAATCCTTCTCGAAGTGATATCATGCAGTCCATAGCAATGTTACTTGGTATAAAAGATTAAAATGTCTCCGTCAAAATTAGTTTAGTGAAAATCGATTCGGAATTGGATATGGCTCCTATATATTAGTTCCCTCTGAAACCAAACTATAACAGCTCTAAAACCAGATTTTGAAAGATGGTATTATCTACTCAAATAAATTTAAATAGATTATTTTGTTACGAGAGATCTACTAAATATGCATAGTGGTGTAGGGTATCATATAGTCGGCCCGCCCGACTTTTGACTTTTCCTTACTGTTTTTTTTATCATATGTGGAGTATTTTTTAGAAGACAAATACATGTATATTAGCTAAAAGTATGAAGCAATAGTATTATCTACAGAATAAGTGATCTCGAATGACTTTGTAAAGCAGTACATAAGAATAAAATTAAATAAATGAGATCAGTGTCTCATTTAAATTCAATGTGAAGGAATCGAAAGGACATTTTATATACGAAAGAGTTTTTCTTCATACATTTTTTCTGCAGCTGGAATTCTTGTCTAAGTTTTACTGTTAACAGAATATTTTTTTTTAGAATATGCTTAAGTATAATATTTTTTGGCATATTATTTTAATTATTATAAACATTTTCTGAAATGTCATATAAATTTCGTAAGAACTCAGCAATTATGTCATTTTTTAACACCTAAAGATGACATTGTGTTTTGCTCATTACCTCTGGCAATTCATGGTTATGAAATCATTTAGTGGCTCACATAAAAAAAGGCTTATTGACAACCAAAAACTGCGATGAACCAGCAGCAACCGTTCAAGTCATTTAAATTGTCTTAAATGAGTTTTGTTTAATTGTGCAGTTTTGTATTTTTTCGGTTTTTTGGGGCCAAATCGCCCATAATTTCATTGACAAATATTATTGTTGACTTGGCAACTTCTGCAGTGGCAGTAATAGTTTGTTTTTTCTGTTAATTCAACATTTCCATGAAGGTTAAGAACCCACTTGGCATTAAATAAATGGAAAATAAACTATTCTTTTATAAAACTAAACAAAAACAACAACAACAACATATTCTTAATTGCAAATTTTAAGCTAAATTTAAAATCAACACAGAGGAGGATAAAAAAATGGGCATGTGTTTGAATATGTTGACTTTTTTAAAGCCACACGTTGCCATAATTACAAACCAGACTTTGGAAAAAGGTTCTGCATGAAATCTACACTAATTGACAAGTTAATGCCGCTAACAGCCCATGATAAATGTGTAAATTATATGACAAGACCACAAAAAAATAACAAGCACATAAAATTCACAATCTAAAATAAAAAAAAAAACAACACGAAACATTTTCCGGGTTTGTGATTTTTTTGGATGGAATTTAGATTGTGTTTTAGCAAAACGAAGAGATAACTTTAATGTCATTTGTAAAACAATAGGCTTGTTCGATGAACTCGTTTAGATAGAGATTGGAACAAGTTTAGATTAATTTACGCCGGCATTCTAAACCACCCTCGTACCAATGGCGGTATTTCGAAACGAGCTTAATTAAAAAAGTAAACAAGAAATTTTGCAAAAACAAAGCATCACGGCTTTGCCTGGAATTAATTCTATGCTCACAGTTTTTATTTTAATTTTTGATAATTATAGATGGTTGGTTGGTTTAAAACGTGAACAGCGATGTTTGAACAAAGAAATCTGTTGGCCCGAAAGAAAGAAAGCAATTATTGCTGATTCTGGCAAAGAATCTACGCTTCTTGCCCTCCAGATGTTTTTGGAAACAAAGAAAAAAACTTTCAAAGATTAAATAATATTTAAAATATTTGTTTCTATTTCTGTATTTTTTTTTGTTTGATTATTCTGAAAATATACTAATTATTGTTTTGTTGTCTCTCTTTCTTTAGTTGGCGACTTGGCTGAATTTTCTGCCGAAGGTCTTCAAAATAAACGCAACTCCATGAAGAGTCAGCTGACAGATGCTATTAAGGATTCATGCCTGCCAAAGATGCTGTGCGAAATGGCTGCAAAGCCGGATTATGCCTTGACGGAGAAGGAAAAGGATCTCATGAATTTGATAAGGTAAAAACGAGTAAAAAAGCTGTAAGTTCGGCCGGGCCGAACTTTGAATACCCTCCACCATTTGGAACGAATTTGGAAATTCTCAAAAACAATAAAATCTGTAAAAAATTCAGTTAAAATCTTAAAAATGCCGAATGTAGCTGTTATATTAGGGTCTATATGACGCAGGTCCATGCATAGGTAACATTTGTCATAAGCCATTACAATGTTCAAATGCGAAACTTAAAAAATCGGTGAATAATGTCGCTAAAATCATCAAAATACCGAATATCGGGAGGTACCGTTATATGGGGGCTATACCAAAACGTGGACTTACATGGGCCATTTCCAATACTAAAAGTCCTGCAGACATAACATACATTTGAGCAAAATTTTATCAATCTACTTCAATTTGTTCGGAAGCTAGAGTGATTTACACAGACGGACAGACTAAATCGACTTAGAATTTTACGCTGATCAAGAATATATATACTTTGTTGGGTCTGACATGTGTATTTCGAGGAGTTACAAACGGAATGACAAAGTTGATATACCCTTCATAGTATGGTGGAGGGTATTAAATCTTAATTGTGCAGTTTATAAAGGTCAGGTCAGGCATGTACTAGAAAGACATAGATTGATCGATGCACGAAATTATTCTTGGAATTCATGCTGGGAAAGCACAAAAGAGCTCTAGTAAATATTTTTAAACTTGGGTTGAATGTTGCAAAGCATTACACTTTGAGTAGGAGAAAATGGGGGTTCGAGAAATGCAGAAAAATTTTCTTTTTTCACTCTTTACGGAAATGAACTTTCTAAGACAAGAATCTTGAAATTCGAGCTAGCTGTTGCGTAAGTGAGCCAATACCACATGGCGGGAAGATTCTAGAATCTGGTATTACATTGTGAGAAAGAGAAAATGGGAATCCGAGAAATGAAGAAATAAATGCTTTGTTTTTGTCATATGAAAGAATGCCATCTATTGATGTTGGACATATTAGTAGGTATCTCTTACATATAAGAGTTTGAGCATACTTTTATAGTATCAGCATATAACGAAAAAATTAAAAACTAAAGCGGAAATGTGAAAAAGAAAATTGCCAAGCTAAGAAATGTTGAAATTAAATAAACTATTATTGTGTAGATACATTGGTTAAGGTCGAGGTCTTGGAATTCGGGCTCAAAATTGCGTCCAAATATTTGTAAACTTGCATTTAATAGTACCACAGACAGGAACGAGTATAGAATTTTCCATTACACTTTGAGTAGGAGAAAATATGGATCTGAGAAATGCAAAAATAAACTCTCGCTTCTTGCTCTTTATATATGGAAGAACGCCATTTATAGATAATGGGTAGATTATAAGTTGTGGAAAAATATAGTCAAATTTTGGTGATTTTTAATATAAGGATAGATATAAAACAAAAAATATGGCTCAGATATGGAAAGAGTTCCAATGGGTGTCTAGAATTTTACATTCCTCTTTCAGTGGGAGAAAAGGTGGCTAACTTTTCTTCTAATCTTTATGATTTATCGACCGCCATCTATTGTCGTCGTGAAAATGAATAGTAATGTATTAAATGTATAAGCATACTTTTAGGTGCAACATAGTAATATTTTTGGTGAAACTGGCCGAAATAATCATTATTTTGAAGAAGTGAATCCATATGGAAATGATATAAAAAAGGGAATATGGTAGAATAGAAAAGCGGTTCCTAGAAATAGAGAAAGCGATTCCTTGTATTGCCTTATGAAACTATTTATTAATATTAGACAAATTAGTAAACGCAATATGGCAACAATTTTTGTGAAACTGACAGGAACACAATTATATCAGGAAAGTCAAAATACCTGGTTGATATCTGAAAAAAAGAGATTTTAAAAATGTCTAGAATATTTCTTTACATTTTGAGTAGAAGAAAAAAAGGGGGTTCTGCAATTGCAGAAAAACATCCAACCCTTTTGATGTATATGTAAATGAATGCCATCTATTGATATTGAACAAAGCATTGGTTATCCTTCAAATATAATAGTTTGAGCATACTTTTAGGCCCAACATAGAAAAAAGGGGGTACTGCAAATGCAGAAAACATCCAACCCCTGTGATGTTTATATGTAAACGAACGCCATCTATTGACATTGGACAAAGGATTGATTATCCTTCAAATATAATAGTTTGAGCATACTTTTAGGTCCAAAATAGTAGCATTTTTGGAGAAAATGAAAAAAACACGACGATTATTTCGCAAATATAACAAAAATGGCAAAAATTCAAAAAAGTTTTAAAAGGAGTATAGAATTTGAATTGAACTTTGAGTAGGAGAAGAATGGGGTCCTAGAAATGTTGAACGAGAGTCTTGTCTTTTTCTCTTTATGTTTAAGCGAACGCCATCTACTGATATTGGGTATATGATAAAATATAAATGTATGAGCATACTTTTAGGAGTAATACAGTAATATTTTTAAGAAACTGACCGGAATCACGATTATATTCTGAAAAATAAATTCATAGGGGGGAATTATGAAACAAACACGACTATTTTGGAGGAATTAATTATTTACAAATGAAGTAATATTGGAGTGATGTGAAAAAATATTCAAAAATGAGTAAATCGAAGGGGTGGTTAAAGAAAGGTTAACATGGTAGTTCATAAAAAAAATACGTTAAAGAACGAAGGCTAATAAAATGTTTGGAAGCAGAAGAAATATTTTAAGTTTCTTCGTCTGTGATGCTGAACCGCGGACCCACAACCTTCGAATTGTAGTCGGAGATATTACTCATTACTTATTAAGGAGGAAACTAGGTTCTTTGGAATTGCAATTTTGAAAGAGTAACCCATTACTTTTTTACATTACTTTTTAATGTGTTATTCGGCTCACGTGACATCTAAATTTTGTTGGGAAGGATCAAGAATATGAACAGCAAAAACTATTCTCTGAAATAAACAAGATTCTCAATTTAATTATTAATAAATATTATTAGATCTATCTTTTTGGCCATTGCCATGAACCCTTACCTGACCTGACCTAAGCTACGTCGGTTGAGTATTGAAATAAACAAATCTTAGAATCATCATGATGGTGCACATTTTTCATCGAAAAATGTTTTCAATTTAAAATTCTGTACAAATTTGCATAACTTTGAAGCTGCATAGCTGTGAAGCTTCTTCTCCAAAGCTGACAAAACATGATTAAAATCAAGTTAATTCGTTTATATTATTTCTCAAAAAAAATTATAATTTATACTGCCCTTGAAAATATGATTCGAAAATTGAATGAACTGTTTTTTTATTTATGACTAAGGAGAATAAACTTTGAACCGTTATTTTGTTGAAAACAATAAACAACGAATACCGGCTGCGAATTTAGGTGGGAATGACTAAAGTTGGAAAAAATCATCGAACTAGCAATTTCAGCTTAATTTCACAAAGTTGTCTTTGCGAATGCGTTGCATCTAACAGATGTCGAAACAAATAACTTTGAACTGATTCAGAATTTCACTTCACCTTAAAAATGCAAATTGCAGCTGCTGTTTTGAGGAAGCAATTGTGGATCGAGGAAAATTGTTTCAATTTATAAATATATAATTTCAAGTTTTGTGTGTTTTTTTTTTCTCATATCAATGTTGGGTTAGGAGGTCAAATGTTAATGAACGTCTGTTTGTGTGGATGTGGAAACATAAATAAAAACTTGTATTTGTTTAGCTGTTAATGCATTTCCACGGGTTTTTGAAATTTTACAATGATTTCCATTAAGTATTTGTTAAATAATTTACATGTTTATTTTGAGTTCGCTTGTTAAACAATCAATTCGTAATGGCAAACAAAAAACTGCAATTTTTACACTTCGCTGATTTTTGCCATGAGACAAGGTGGGGCAGGCAGGCAGGTGGTGGTGCTGGCAAATGACAGCCTCGCACTTGACTCGAAGGCGATTTGGTTTGAATTCACGTTTTCGAACGAGTGTTGCCTCCATAAAAATAAACCGGCAAATGCCTAGAATGCTAAATAAGGAATCTTATGTAGAATTTAATTTAATACACCGCAGAAAAATTATAATTTTGAATCGAAATTCTTTTTTATTTCCAGATCATCATCCATGTCCCTGGCCATGAATGGCTCGCCCAGTAAATGGCATTTTGCTGCCCACATGGGAGAATTGTTGCGCTACACCGGTGACAGCTTGAGTGGACCCATGGGTTGTGCCAATTTGTGGCCCAACTGTCCAATTAGTTCCAAGAAATTAATGAAATTGTCCTATAAAGTTAAGCTCTAAATAGCGCAAAAATCTCAGTCAAGACAGAATCATGTGATCATAATTTTTGGTACCCCGAAATGAAGAAAGAAAAAACAAGCCAAGACCACAGACCAGAATTGATGTTCAAATTTCCATTTGAAGCTGATGTTCCATGCCAATCCTTTTCACAAATAATAATAATCGGAAAATATGCATCCATCCACACCCTCATTTCACATCCATTGCAAAACGACTCGAAATCGAGTTCCATTTATTTATAACAAAACGTCTATTGTAAATAACTATAAGTCCTGTACGTAGCTTAAAATTGAATGCAAATAATTATTAGTTTTAAGAAGTGTTAAAATTTTAAGATTTTCTAATTTTTTTTCGGATTTTTTTTACATTAAAAACTGAAAAATGTAAAATTTTTTACACTAGTCGACCATGCTTTTGTACGATATAATGCGACATAGCAATCGATCATACGATATCACTTAAGTTTAATTATGGCTATTGTTAAGTTTAAAGTTTGTTTCGTATCGATGTACATATGTTTTTGTGGATGTACATTTAACACAAAGGAGACTCTTTTTTTTTAGAAAAAAAATGTGTTAACTATTGTTTTTGTAAATAAAGTTAAAAATATTAAAAAAAAATATATATATTTGGGAATTTTAAATTTTTATGGTCAACCCAAAGCTGAAATAGGCTGTTGGTCTTTTCAGCGAAGAGCAGGTGGTCTTCTCAGAGAAGAGTTTTTGGTCTTCTCAGAGACGAGCTGTTGGTCTTCTCAGAGACGAGCTGTTGGTCATCTCAGAGAAGAGCTGTTAGTGTTCTCAGAGAAGAGCTGTTGGTTCTCTCAGATAAGAATTGTTTGTCTTCTCATAGAAGCGAAGGTGGTTTTCTCAGAGAAGAGCTGATGATCTTCTCAGAGGAGAGCTGATGATCCTTTAAGAGAAGATCATTATTCTGGTCTTCTCAGAGAAGAACTGTTGGTCTTCTCAGATATGAGCTGTTGGTCTTCCCAGGAAAGAGCTGTTGGTCTTCTTCATATAGGATCCGCTGGTCTTCTAGACGTGGAGGTACTTTTCATAGAAGGCGTGAAGGTCTTTTCCATAGTACGCGTGGAGGTCTTATCCATAGAACACCTTGACGTCTTATCCATAGAAGACATGGAGGTCTTTTCCATAGAACACCTGGAGGTCTTCTTCATAAAAGATCGGATGTCTACTTCAAAGAATACCTGTATGTCTTCTTCATAGAAGACCTGCTGGTATTCTTCATGGAAGACCTGAAGGAAGACCTGGGGGCCTTCTTCATAGAAGACCTGGAGGCCTTCTTCATAGAAGACCTGGAGGTCTTCACCATAGAAAACCTGGTGGTCTTCTTAATAGAAGACCAGTAGGTCTTCTTTATAGAAGACCTGGAGATTACCTTCATAGAAGACCAGTAGGTCTTCTTTATAGAAGACCTGAAGCTGCTGGTCTTCTAGACCTGTTGTCTTCTTCATATGTACATCGATAGACCTGGATGTCTTCTTCATAGAAGACCTGGAGGTCTTTTTCATAGAAGACCTGGAGAAGTTCTTCTTAGAAGACCTGAAGATCTTCTTCATAGAAGACCTGGAGAAGTTCTTCTTAAAAGACCTGGAGATCTTCTTCATAGAAGACCTGAAGTTTTCTTCATAGAAGACCTGGGGGCTTTCTTCATAGAAGACATGGAGTTCATCTTCATAGAAGACCTGGAGGTCTTCTTCATAGAAGATCTGGAGGTCTTCTTCATAGAATACCTGGAGGTCTTCTACATAGAATACCTGGAGGTCTTCTTCATAGAAGACCTGGAGGTCTTTTTCATAGAAGACCTGGAGGTCATCTTCATAGAAGAACTGGAGGTCTTCTTCATAGAAGACCTGGAGGTCTTCTTCATAGAAGACCTGGAGGTCTTCTTCATAGAAGACCTGGAGGTCTTCTTCATAGAAGACCTGGAGGTCTTCTTCATAGAAGACCTGGAAGTCTTCTTCATAGAATACCTGGAGGTCTTCTACATAGAATACCTGGAGGTCTTCGTCATAGAAGATTTGGAGGTCTTCGTCAAAGAAAACCTGAAAGTCTTCTTCATAAAAACCTGGAGGTCTTCTCCATATAAGACTTGGAGGTCTTCTTCATAAAAGACCTGGAGGTCTTCTTCATAGAAGACCTGGAGGTCTTCTTCATAGAAGACCTGGAGGTGTTCTTCATAGAAGATCTGTCTTCTTCATAGAAGATCTGGAGGTCTGGAGGTCTTCTTCATAGAAGACCTGGAGGTCTTCTTCATAGAAGAATCTTTAAGAAAGATTCTCTACGGTTTTCTAATGCAATTCGTCTCTGTTGTCTCCTCTGGAAGATATCTGGATCCTTTGATAGTAACTCATGATTTTTCTTCCGAATTCATATCCAATATATATATTTTTTCAGTGTACTTAATCGCAATTTACAGCCTCGTTATGTAGAATAGACCCGCCACCGCTTTCCGTCATTTTGTTTAGACTAGTATTTCATTGTTAGCAACGACACGCTAAACAATTCCTTGTGTTTTGAGGCTGAACAGTTTTCGATTCTAAACAAAAATTTGTTAATATTTTTATGTTTTTAGCTCTCGTCATGTTAGTTATTCGAACAATTGTGGTTTTTGTCATTCGGCTGTTGCCAATTGCCGATGCCGATGCGGTCGGTGCCCAACAGACAGACTAGTCGTTTTGAATGTGAACTGGGTAGGCTGGCGTGATGTGAATGTATTGCATTGTCGTGTGGTTTACAACAAAATATTGGAGGTTGTAGAGCTGGAAGTGACTTCCCCTTTGAATTATTTCAAATTGCATTGAAATTGAAATTCATTGCAATTTTCGGAATTCATTTAATACGAACATAAACGAAAGTCAACCTGGCGTGAAACTATAACTACGCAAAGAGACATTGTTGTGGTTTTTTCGAAACTGGGTTAATAGAAGCAAATATTATGGAGAGAACTACTCTCACAACTTAGTAGAAGTGTAACCCACAATGACAACTTGAATTAACATTTGATTTTTTGGTGTAGGAATTTGAGATGCGTGTGTCTTTGGTACGGTAATTAGCTGTCTCTTAACTCTGTGAACTAAACAGCAGCCACACCGTTTGTTAGAAGCGAAAATATAAAAAATCTTAATTGTAAGCTTTTGGAAGGTTCATGAAGGTCACATTTTGTCACAACACTATGGGGAGGGGTCTGTATTAATAGCCTTATAACCGCTTGAAATAATTTCAAACATTTTTTACGAGGTTGTGGCATTTCATGTTTGAGATTGGAGATACAGATTTTTTGGGATTGTATGTTTTGCATGTGTAACCTCATGTGACCTCCAGGGAAATAAAATATTTATAACATTGGCGATCATTTTTTATTTTGTGATATTTTGTTGAGATCTTAATACATATTATTCATACTTTCATCCAGATAGTTTCAATCATGTTAGATAATTGTGTAAGGTATCATTTTGTCATTTTTTATTTAGCATTTTTATAGTATACATTCTGGTGTTCCCAACAATTAAATTTAAAAGAAATGCTATATTATGTATACCATAAAAAACTATCAATATAATATACTTATATTTAGGAAAACGCCTAAGAGTATACTATAAAAATGTAAGTTTAACTGTGTAAAGTTTGAATCTAAGATGATGTGTAAACTAGGCTTTATTGGGTTGAGTTACAATCTAACTTCCTGAAAGAGTCTTACATTGACTTGTAAAAAGGCGGATTCGAAGGGCACCGATATTAGTACAACTTTTCGTACATTTTTATACTTTGAATTAAAAAATAAGGCATTTCAGACGTCTTTAATTAAGAAATTATCAAAGTTACAAAAATAGTATCGAAATTTTTGTATGCTGGATTCAAAATTTCTTACATTTAAAAGCAGCTTATTTGTTATTTTGCGATTGTACCGGACTTTTTCATCTTCTACACACCAAGGTTTTTCCAATATTAATATTTAAAAATCCTACATACCAGATTTCGTTGCCATAACATTATGTACCGTTTAATCATTTTCGTACACATTGATCACGAATTACTACCCTACTTCAGGCCTCTACACCGTCAGGCAAAATTAAAAAATTTAAATTATTTCGCTCTTTAATAACATCATATTATTTAGTACCTTTCGTACCCTAATAGTACTAATATCGCCTTACATGCGTTCCGTATTAATACACTCCTCCCTTTTCGTATCACAAAAATACGGATTTTCCAAAAACCACGTCTCTCTTCAGCCCTCCAAGACTTTCCCTCATTCAAAATGTATGAGCTTCTGAAAAATCACACCTTACCTCGGTTCAGCGAGCTTATTCAAAACATACAAATTCCAGCTCTTATCAATGCCTTTCTTACAATGCCGTACCATTTCGTGCCTTAAAGAAAACTTTTCGTACCCTAAATCTGCGAATTTGCAAAATTTACGCCTAGACTGCTTTTCGAGTAAAGAGTGTCCTTAATCAAAATTTAAAGTTTTTCCGATCGATGTACCATTTCGTACCCTACAGTAATCTTCATGCCCTAAATGTGTACATTTCCAAAAATCACGTCTTAGTTCGTCATCAGCGTAATTTTTTACACTTTGAAGAACGTTTTACCGTACCGTTTAATTCCCGCTGCACTAAGTGGGACTCTCATGCAAAAGTTTACAAAAGCTTAGCTATTATCAATAGTTTTACCACCAAGCCGTAATATTTCGTACGAAAACTTTTCGTATCCAAAAAGTAAGAATTTTTAAAAATCTCCCCCTGGTTCGGTGGCAAAAGCAACAGATGCTTCATGTTACAACGTCGAACCGTTTAATAACTTATAGTAATTTTCGTACCTTCAAACTGTGTATTTTACGAATGATTCTGAGACTGATCCCTATGCTAAGTTTCCAAGTTTAAGCATACGAATATCACTCATTCTTTAGTCCGAAAATTCCAAAAATCTCCCTTGACCTCAGCTTTCCGTACCAAGTCGGACCCTTATGTTAAATTTACAAATATGTAGATACAAATATATAGTTAGATAAAATCTCGTCAAAG